GTTTAATTTGCAGGTGTTGGCTTCCATACCCTTGTGCTGTCTAGTCAAGCCTCTCAAGACTCCTTATTTTTCCTTCAGTCACTACATTTACATTTTCAACCACAATAAAATCAAATTTAAAAGTTTTTAAATCCTCTGTGAAATAAAAATTCCACTTACTTGCTGAAAGCTCTGTTAAACATTATGGAGAAGTGCAAGTGTTGTTTTCAGAGATGGAAACTTGCACACACACATTATACATAAACTGTGGTACGGCAGTTGTGTGTTGTACACAAACCCAGGCCTTCATTCTGCCTCTTTGTGAGGCTTTTTTCTTCCCCCAAGACTGTGTTAAATCTGTGACTCTAACTTCTGTTGTCTTTCAGAATCTTTGCATTAAGAGCATTGATACCTGGCTGTATGCATGATTCCAGTATTTGTCTCAGTGGAACTCTTTGTACCTTTTCTTGTCTTTCCACACTTTCCATATTAAAAGTTCAGATTAGATTGTGTTGCTGTAGCATCAAACTAATTCGTGCTGAATTGTTCACCCCATTCAACTTGAGTACTTTCCAGGGTACCTGTGTCTAAGTCAGTGTTTTTTAAATATGCTACAAAATCTGTACATTCCTGGGTTAGAGAGTTTTAGTAAGTTGTCAAAACATTTGAATTGTAATTCAGTTCAATTTTCACTTCAGAGAGCAGAATTAAAGCACAAATGCAAAATTAAAGCTATGTTATTTAAAATGGATCCCTTCCTAATTATTATGTACATGTCATGATAAAATGCTCAAATGTTTTTTCCCAACTTTTCTTGGTCACATTTTTAATGAGATTGAGCTGAGTGCAATAATTGTTACTGTGGCACCAGAGTAAGATTGAATTTAGTAATGCCAGTTTTGACTGATGAAGTATGTAAAAGCATCAGACTTTCAACTTCAGTGGAACTCTTGCTGCAATAAAACAACTATTGAATTGCATAATGAACATCAGAATCTGTCCTTTGCACAAGCAAAAAATAAATCCCCACTTTTGGGTTGGTTTCTGGTCATATAATTTAATAAATTTGCATTCAAGAATGAGTAGTTAAACAATATGTTCTTTCAAACAGGCTTCCTAATATCTTTTTTTTCCTTTCTGTAAATGCTAGTGTTTTCTGAGTGTGGTGGTACCTATCTACATACAGCATGGCCATAATGCTTATTCTGTAGCTGCAGTATCCTTAAATGTACTGTTAGGTCTGGATAACAGCGTGCTCAGTAGTGTGACACATTTCCTGGAATATTTGAGTTTTCGTTCAAGCATTTGGGTAGCACAGTTTCTGTCAGTATTTTGGGAGTGTGGTTAATTGGACCCCTCAGGAAAAATGCAGGTAAATCTGGGGCTCTTCCTAGTAAGCTTTAAAAGGATCAGATCATCTGTTTCCAATCTTTGGACACAGCTTGGCTGCAGAGTTAGTTAAGAACAAATACTGAACTTCATGAAAGCATGAGTGTGTTCACAGACGTGTTCACTTGGCATCTTTCTTTCATGTTTTTCTTCCTTATCAGTTTAAGGTGTCCACCGATCACCTTTGTCACACCTTTTGGGTTTTGTAGTGAAATTTCCATGTTAAAACTTTCCTTAAGAGAACTCCTCTCAGCTTTCTTTGCAACACTGACTTTTGATGTACTTGTTAGTACAAAAGGCAAAATTCCACAGGAACCCAGCAAGTTCTTTGTACCAGAAGTCTCTGTGGCGAAGCTTAGAAAGCAGAATATGCTGAGGGAAAGCATAAACTGGTTTTTGCTATTTTATCAAAGTCTAATTTTCTGTGATCTAACTGTGAATTTGCTGATAAACAAATGTGCAACTTCAAAAAGCTTTATTAATCAGTAAAAGCTGAGGTACTCTATATGTGTTTTATGTTAATCCTTTTGTTGGATTAAAAGATTATCTTTGATGGGGAATCTTCAAGAAACAAGGTGATGACACATTTTATCATGTGTCAATGTGATGGAGATATGGTTTCTTCAAAGTCCAAGGACTACACAGGAATATTTTTCACCCCCTTTTATGAAGTTGCTTAACAATAAAAATTGGTGCTCTTCAACTAGATTCCTAAAGAGATCAGATTTATTTTATACTGGGATTTGATTTATGAATTTGCATGGAGGTGGAAGGGATCATCAGTGGACTCTCTATAAATGTGTTCACTTATCTCTTCCTGCAGCACAGTGGGATAGCAGACTTTGCATGAGCTCTGAAGACTGAAAAGTCTCCCATGTATGCTTGATTTTATCAGAGCTGACTGTCTTCAGTGGAGTCACCGAGGTCCAAATTCCACCTTTGGCATTTGGACATATGAGGAGCACAGCTGAAGGACAGATATATATGTGCTAAGCACAAGATGTCTTACATAGATGAAACTGAAATCCTCTGTCTGGAGCATTGCATTTGGGTCAGTGTTGCAAGATGACACTTTAATTTCTTTAGGATCAGAGACTGGAATCTTCTGCTTAGGATTGGTGGCTGCAGAGATCGCGTGTGTGTTTTGGTTTTTTTTGTTTTGTTTTTTTTTTTTTTTCCTTTGGTTGTTGTTTTGGTCAGAGGTTTTTTTTGTAGTTTTTCTTTTTTATATGTTTGAAAGAGGATCCTTTAACTCAAATGGCTGTTTAAGGAATCAGGGATCTGAGATGAAATTTATCTTCAGTCTAAGAAAGTTTATATTTGTCCTCCTAAAAGACTTCTCTGATGACTTAATTACAAGCTAGATGGAATGAAAATGCCCTGCTTGTCCTTGGTTATTTCTTCATCTTCCCAATGCTGAGCCAGGAATGGAGGATTGGAGGATTCACAGAACAAGGAGGCAAGGTAGCACAGGAAGGCTTGTTAAAAACCAAGCTTGGATCTTGGTTTTTACAGCCCTCAGGTATTAGAGTAAAATATTTACCCATTGGTCTTGTATTGTTTCAAACATCACCACCATCTTTTTTATATTGCAGGATGCTTCAAAAAAGCATAGCAGTGGGTCAGGAGTTGTGTGAGGCAGAGCACCTCAGTGTTGGGCACTGCAGATGGGTATCTGGAGCATGACAAACTGCTCTTGCACTTCTGCTGATGCCCAAAAGTCAGGCATACAGTTAACCTAGGGAAGCCTCTGTTAAGCTTCTTTCAACCTTTGATGTTAGGTTTTCCCTAAGTAATGATTTTTTTTTTAGGCTACCTTAGTCTAGTTCTGGTCTTTTAATTTCTATTTTTTAAAAAAATATATATATTCGGTTCTTTCTATTTATAAACTATTTTTTATACCTTTTGCATTGTATTAAAAAAATATGCTAATATTTTGCAAACACAAAGCCAGTCAATTTCTCATTTGAAGTTAGTGGATGTGATCTTTGTCTAACAAAGCCCGTATCAGTAGAAGGTGTAGAGCACTAGTGCTCAAGATGAGGGGAACGAATCCCCAAGTATGTTTCAAAGGTTTGCATTAGATTGCGACTGTCAAAGCAATTAAGTTTCATTTAATATTAATTTTTAATTGTTTAATAATCAATATTGATTTGGAACTAGTCTCACAAACAGAAATAATTTAAAGGCACTGCTGTTAGGTGTTTACAGAATATAACAAAAAAAGTATGTAGATGTGTACTTTAGGTAAGAGAAAATACAAATTTTTGCAATTTTGTTTAACTGTTCTTTTATGGTCTGTGCCTTGCATAAAAAAAGCAGTTTGAATTTCTAGTGGGGTTTTGGGTGTTTTAGTTGGTTTACCCCTTTTCCTTTTCCTTTTCCTTTTCCTTTTCCTTTTCCTTTTCCTTTTCCTTTTCCTTTTCCTTTTCCTTTTCCTTTTCCTTTTCCTTTTCCTTTTCCTTTTCCTTTTCCTTTTCCTTTTCCTTTTCCTTTTCCTTTTCCTTTTCCTTTTCCTTTTCCTTTTCCTTTTCCTTTTCCTTTTCCTTTTCCTTTTCCTTTTCCTTTTCCTTTTCCTTTTCCTTTTCCTTTTCTTTTGTCTTTCTGGAGTCCATTCATTCCTTTCAAGCTGAAAGAAATAAATTGTCAGAGGTTTTATCACCTTGCCTATGTTTAGTCAACAGTGACATCATTAACCTATTTCAAGCCTGCCTTTCTTAATAACAAGAGAAGTTTTGCCAGTCTTTAGATTCAATATACCCTGAAACAAATACTCCTTTTTTATAGAATTGTTTGGGGATTTAATTTATTTTCAATTTACTATTTCCTATTAAAACTTCAATCACCCTCCACTTGATTGTAATTAAAACTGCCCCTAGGCAATAAATTATGTTCTATGCAAATATGACAGGTATAATTATGGAAAAGTCTACTTGTTCATGTATTGGTCCTTTTCAGTTGGTGTTAAAATAAGTGATGAAGTAATTAGATTTTTTTCCCCTTCAAATATCAGAACAAAAAAGAGCAACAGAATTTATACTTTTTCTTGAGCCTGGCTTCCTATTGCTTCCAAGGCTCCTCATTCCTTGAACTCTGAAATTATCTTCAGACCAAAGATAGGAAGTTCTTGGTTTGTGTCCTCTTGGATTAGTACAGGGAAAATGTTTCTGTGCAGTGATGGGCTTAAAAGAGCAGTGTGAAGAAGAGTGAGTATCTAAGTTCAGTCCTGGAGTTTGGCAGGTCCAATGAGGATGGGACAGTGGTGTTCCCCTCTAGATTCTTCCATTAATGTTTTCATTACATCCAGCTCTGACAGTTCTAAGGAAAAAAAAAATATATCTCTCTTAACATTCAGTTAACAAAGCTGAAATTGATCGGTGGCTGTGTGATCAAAGGTATTCTTTTATTTTTGTGGTGCAACATGTTGTATATGTCAGCAGGTTGCACTTTGTTGTGAAGGGGATATTTTCCCTGCCAAGAAGCTAGCAGGGAGTGCTTGCCAAAACTGAAAAGGTCACAAAGATCCTTTAGGTCTTGCCCTCCTGTGCAGAAACCCCTTACATAATCCTTCAGCTTCAATTGCTGCTTGCACACTGGCAGTGGCTGTATTCCTGCTCCTTGGCTCATTACGCCGTCTCCAAGTTGGTTTGTGTTACAGCAGCAGTGACTCACTGATGCTCAGTCCACTGGAAAGCACTAAGCAGACAGGCTCTGCTGCTAAATTCAGCGGCTATTCCCCGAGTGCCTTCCCTGAGTCAGAGCAGTGAGCAGTGATTTTGTTTTTGCTGGATGTGTTTGGGCGGATGGTGCGGGAGTGGGCGGTGGTAACGCTCTCATTGCTGAGCAGGCAGTGAGCAATCTCCCTTGATGTTTGTTGTGCCATTTCCCCCCCCACCCCCCTTTATATTTTTTTTTATTGTAAAGGTTTACATGTATTCTGGAGTTGTCAGGATGTATTTATGTTTTAGCAGGTCCTTAAAAAAGTTAATGTGAATGAACAGAAGATGCTAGAGGAGCATGTTTACCTGCTCCCAAGGTGATAAAAGCAGATTGAGTTGAAATCCTAGGGGTGAGTATTTTCAGGTCAATTTCAAATAGAATCAGCCTTTAGCAACATAGAATATACTGACGTGTGTAAACCATGTGGTCCCACCAGGCATTTTCTCAACGTTTCCAATCCCTCTTCTCTTCCACAGCATTGATGACATGCCAGACTTCCCACTGGGTCAACAGAGCTGTCCTTCCCTTCTGGCCCCTCAATTATCCTTCCTCCCCCTTCTTCTCTCCCCAAAGCCTGCATGCATCTTAAAGGTATTCCTTTCATAACCAGTCGAGGACAATGGAAGTCAAAGAACTAGAGCATGGCATTTTGCAATTCTAGGGATAATATTTCATCTCATGACACATTTCATGGGCTTCTATTCTATGTAAAAAGATGGCATCATATCCAAATATAATGTAACATTAGGTAAAAATATTTGCATATAATGAAAGTAAAATAAATTCAATTTTAAGGTTATAATCAGAAAGAGTTTTCATTAAGAATTTATTGCTATTTTTTTTTCCCACAGTAGAAATCCAGATTGTGTAATTTTACCCTCAGTTATTATTTTCTGTATCTTCTTTTTCTGTATATTTTCCCTGTACGCTGTATATTACAAGCTCAAATCTTCATTTTCAAAATGCATCTTATTTTTAGGCTTTCATTTTCTAAAGCCAGTGCCTGCTACAGCCAGTCTTTTAATCTGCTAAGAATATAGTAAAGAGGTGATTACAGAGGATGAAAATGAGGAAAAAATTAATATTATGAGGTACAAACTGTGGTGTAGCATAACTATAACCATGTATGTGGGAGAATGGAGCATAGGTGCTACTACAAGGTGCTTTAGCTTTTTAATTTTGTGGTTTTAACCTTTTAATGAAGCACATTTTTCTTTTAACTGTTGTTATGCAATTCTAATATTTTATAAAAGAGCTTCCTGTATTTGCAATGGATTCACTTAAGATACATATTTGCATAAGTAATTATTGCTGTATTGTAGGCAAAGTTTATGGCTGCAGCCTGTGTTCCTGATTTTGTTCTGAATAAAGTAAGGACTGTGTTAAGCATGTAATAGTACTAATGATTTTTTTTCTTTGAATCCAAGTTTAAGTATGACTTGGAATTGGAAAAAAAAAGTTGTAATAGTGAATATAATAAGTGTAATGGAAGCACAAAATACAATTATGTTCATGTGGTGTGAGGAAACAGTCCATTGTCTGTTTACTCAGTCCGTCAGTGGTTTATTCTAGACTTTGAGCTTCTATTAGTTTCTAATAGAAATCTTCTGAAAATCTAACTGAAATCTTCTGTTAAGTGAGCACTATTTCTAAACACGTATGTCTGCAAACAGTTTGAGTATTTCCTGCTTGAGATTACTTTATGCTTATTCACCTTTTTTACCTACTGTTAAGAAATCTACTTTAAGCTTCTGCAAAATCACTTCATGTAGGAGACCCCTTCGATCTTAGTGTTTAGGGTTTGGTATTTTTCAACTTGGTGATCATGAAAGCAGGTGGAGATGTTTTATATCTAAATGTTGGTCCTATTCTGAATTGCCTTCCCTATTAGTGTAAAATTTCATTCTCAGGATAAGGGAGGAGTATGGTGTGATGTATGTTCTTGATGCAATCAGGCTTTCTAAGGTGATATCAAAGGAGTTTATATGGAGTGGAACAATCTTGTCAGATTATCTGAATATAAACTGAAAAAGTGCTTCAGAATTTTTATATATATCACAGAATCATCTGAGTTGGAAGGGACCAATGAAGATCATAGAGTCCAGCTCCAAGCTCTGCACAGGACTATTCCCAAGAGTCACACCATGGGCCTTAGAGTATTCAAATGCTTCTTGTACTCTACCAGGATTGGTGCTGTGACACACTCACATTCTTTGGAGTACATTTGAGCTTTGGAGGCTTACAAAAGTTGCTATAAAACAGCTCATCAATTATGTGTTCCTCTTAGCTTCATCACAAGACAGTACTGTGCTTGTTTCTTCCTGGTTGGTGGTTTATTTTTGGTCTCAGTGTTTAGTAATACTGTGCATTGTTTCATTAATTACCAGTAAAATTCTTGATTATGCTGTTTAATTGAAATACTTCTGTTAAGAATCCTCGTTGTGGTCTCAGCTGTAACTACATCTGCATCAACTATTGGCCATGGATTAGGTTTTCCAGGAAGGACAGAAAGGGAGCAGAGAAGTGGGAACAAGATGTGCTTTTGCAGCATGCTTGACTACATGCTCTGATTTATTATTTAGCTCTGAGCTGTGTTCAGTTCAGCAGGGGAGCTCTTCTTCCTGTGGTTCCTTTGAGATCTCTGTGTGTCAAGCTACTCCTGTGCAGTGCTGTGTTGGACATTTTCCTACATATATGCTGCTACTGCTTCAACAATGTATTTGTTTCTAGGCATTGAGGCAGTGGCCTCAATGCCTAGAAAAGACTGTTCTACGTTTTTATTCTATGCTCTCTGATATCTAGTATGTTCACACAAACATTAAGCTGCTGATGTTTTCTTTACTGACAACTATTGGCCAGCTTGAAAGCTACAAAATTTCATTCTATTGCATAGAATTAGATTAGTGATAGTAAATAACTGTATAATTAGAAGAAACTCTTTTACCATGTCAGGGTAAACTCCTGTCCTTTCAAATTGCCTCTAGTCTCAGGAAAGTTTTCTGGTACATTTTTGATATATTTCAGTAAGGGGCAGGCAAGAGAAGGTAAGAGATGTTAATGGAAGCAAGTTTTCATTTATTTCCTATAAGCAGAGTGTTTGCATGGAGCAATGATATATATCACTCTATACTAGAGGGATTTCTGCATCTGTGCAAGTCTCCTATATTATAAATTTTAAAAAAATGATATTAATCTCTCTAACTTTGCACGGCACCTAATGCAAGGGAAAATGCTAGTAAAATCAATATACATAGAAATGCAAAGATTAAGTAGTATTGAAATTAAACTTTTTTGATCTGCACTGAGAATCATTACAACATCTACATAAAAGTCCGACTGATATTTTCGTAACCTATTTTTTATCTACAGTTGTAATGGCCACAATAAAAATGGAGCACTACAATAAAACACATTGGAAAACTTTTGTGATCAGGAAATAAATTCCATTGGCAAGGGCTTGGCAACTGCTTAGAAACTGTCTCTAGCTGCTTTCTCAGCCCCATGGGCAGTTTTGCCTGGAAGCATTTCACAGCAGCCCACAGCATATTAAAGGCAGGGGACTCAGATAACCTGACAGAGAGGAAGATTACAGATACTTTTCAATTTCTCACATTTTTCAAAATGGATCCTGATATGCCACTTGTGTCAGTACTTGTGCTCCTGCTGAACCATTGCTATGTCGTGCAGTCCAAGTGTGATATATCTATTGCCTCTGCAATACATTTTAGAGCAGCTCTGCAAGTATAAATCCCTGACACAGGACATGCCAGTAACAGGTTCATTTTTACAGCACTGCCCGTAAGCCATCTTTGAGCTCACTATGGTTTTACTATCTCTAAAATGCTAAATACAAAATTATTAAAAAGCATGTGGCATGATTCATTTTGCTTACATTAAGCTTCAAAAGAGAAAGTTGTGTAGTTTAAGATAGGAGTCTAAGCTAGGCTTCCTCTGTGCCTGTTGGAAAATAGGCTCTGCCACAATGGAATGGAGGATTCATTTCACTTCAGTCCCTTTGGTGCTATTTCCTCTTTTGCAGCAAAGGAAAATGTATGATCCTTTTAAATTTCTTCACAGCTTGGCTCCTTTTTGCTCATCTACCTTGTGAAATTTTTTTTGTAATACCAGCTGTGATCTGCAACGCTTTTGCACCTCTTGCAGACCCTTACTCCCTGTGAAAAGTACAAGCTCATATGTTCAAGTATAAATACAAATTATTTCATTTCATGTATTTGATGGATTATCCAAATTGTCAACTAACTAAAGCATTAGTTTGTTTTTTTTTTTGCATCTTGATCAGTAGTGGACATTATTTGCATCTGTATGCAGATGTATACATCTGCTCGGTAGGTTTTCCAGAATTATGTTTTCCCCCATTAATTGAGAATGAAAGCTATGAAGTCCTGCCCATCAGAGATCAATTCTGTCAGTGGCAGAACCAAATTAAGCATTGTCTTTTGTCCTCCCCTACTGAGTAATAAAGGTGGTGCCAATTACAACAAATTTTTTATCTGTTACTGGCTAAACTTGAATGGGCTTCTTATGTGTAGGTCTGGCTTAAGGCACTTCTATGACAACACCTTTGAACTTCTTGGGAGGTTTTTTGCTATGTATTTACGTGACATGAACCATTTGAGGCCAATTTGGAAGATTGAAAAAGGTAGCTCAGATATCTTCTTTGTAAGGTGCCAAAATCATATAATATGTCATGGAGTGGTTTGGGTTGGAAGAGACCTTAAAGATCATCTAGTTCAAAACCTCCTGCCACAGGGAGGGACACATTGCATTAGATCAAGTAATAAGGATTTTATTTGGCAATTCCCTATGCATTTTTTAAAGAGATTTTTGTGAAAGAGAGTTCACCTGCAGAAGCTATGAAGAAGAGCCAAAAGCCTTTTACCAAGATGAAACAGTCATATATGCAAGAAGAAACAGAGTGGGATTCTTAAAGCACTGAAGACAATTTGCCCTCAAGTGTCCTCCTTTTAATATGGAGGATGGCATCCAAACTCTTCTTATACTTGTGTATATCATCAGATGTTAATCTTCAGAATCAAAAATCTTGGAGATCTGATCCAAGCTACTTTGCAGGAAGAAGTTATGGTCACAAAACAAGGAGAGCTTATTCTCATTTCAGAAATAATAATGGTTTGCTGCAATTTGCAACTGCATGATAGTTAAGTGCATGGAGCCATTGTAATCCACTGGTACTCCCTGTGGCATGTGCTACTGTTTGAGAGGCAGGGTTACCTCCTGATGAGGATTTTGGTTTTCAGTCCCTTCTGAAGCATGCATTCCACAACATGGATGGTGCAGGAAAGTATCTTGCACAGATGTTCTGGTTTGAAAAGGTAGCAAACACACACAGAAACACAAACATGGAGTGTTCAGCAGGGATTCAGCTGTTTGAATTGGAATGGATGAAAACATCCATGGGGCAATCCCATTAACAACTGCTTTGTATTGAACAAAACAATACCAAAAAAAAGGGAAAAAAAGGAAAATTTTGTCTGGATCTGCTTGCTTTATAGAAACTTAGCTAACAGCAAATTAGTCTCTTTAAATGAACAATCTAGCTATGGCAGGGATGCAGGACATCAGAGAAGGCTGCACAGCCATACACTAATTGATGTGCACGTCAGACCCTGGGGACTTGCTCTTGTGGCCGTGTTATGACAGCTGAAACATCTATCCATGCTTATTGTTGGTGTCCTCAAAGGAAGGTGATGTTTTAGTGAGAAAGAAAAAAACCCCAAAAAAGTGTGTAAAGGACAGGCTTAGTAAGTAGCAAATGAGTTGTAAATTAGTTGACATTTTGATGTTTTTGCCCTTCTCCCTCCCAGCTAGCCAGGCTGCCCCTGCTATCTCCCTGTGCTGGCCTGCGAGCTGGATATTCTGTGCTGTGGGAACCTGTAGGCTGTAGGTTGGTCAGATTCCCTCAAATTAGCCTAAGGGACATCATGCCAATCTTGATAGGTAGTAGGCATCATTAAATTTGTAAATGTAACATCCTTGTTTGTAGGGAGGGGAGGTAGGATTGATCTCCAGGTTCAAAACCAGAGCACAGCAAGTATTTCTAGCCCTTATTTCCCCTCATAATTATTCTCTACGCATTTCTTCCTTTTTCTCCTCTGTTTTGGAGGGGGCTTTTGGTTGTTTGTTTCTACTCTGCTGGCTCTGGCAACACTCAAATGGATATTATCTAGCCTGAGGACTATATTTCTGTCCTACACCATTTGTATTTTTCAGATTGCTCAAAATAACATTGCACAGTGGATATAGGGAAAATGAGCTAATATTGTCATTTGGATGTTTCTCTTAGGTAATAGAGAGGAGAAATGGCATGTTCCCTAAATGTG